ATAAATAAATTAATACAATAAAATAAATTAAACAAATAGTACAAAATAAATAAAATCAACCTTTGTTTATTTTCCCACATTTTCATCAAATTCAATTGAAGTAGGCATTCGTGTAAACTATAAATTCTCAATTTTCATCATTGTTGGCAACACAAATTGTTTAGTCGCTCAAAGACATACTCACACACATACACACAGCGTACGGCACTATTGGAATATAATTTATTAATTGTGTGATTAGCTTGGGACAGTAAACGGCTTCAAGATGTCTGCAGAAGTGGAGGAGATGCTGAAACGTTTTCAGAACGTTAAGAACATCATTGGCATTGTTGTTGCCGACTACGATGGCATTCCCATCAAGACCACATTGGAGAACGTGCAATCGGTTCACTTGGCATGTCACATGCATTTGTTAACGGAGAAGGCGCGTCAGGTGATACTGGATCTGGATGCCACCAATGAATTCGTGTCTATGCGCATGCGCACTAGCTACTTTGAGATCATACTGATGCCCTCCGATAACTATTTCATAGTCGTCCTTCAGAATCCCAGCGATTAGAAGATGGCTTATTCGTTGTAAATTGTTATTGTTATAACTTGTTCATTAAAGACATTTCTCTGTGCAAGTGGAGTGTTTAACATGAGAGAAAAAGAGAGAGAGAGAGAGAGAGAGAGGGAGGAAGAGAGAGAGAGAGAGAGAGAGAGAGAGATAGAGTGAAAGAGTGCTCTACAAATAGGGCTCCATTCCCTTTGGCAGCTAGCTTTGAATGGTTTAAAAGGCAACTCTCTTTGCATTATGAATGCTCATCAATTATTAATGAACTCAAAATGTATTTGGAATTAACTCTGCTTCAATGTGCCCAACCGACTCCTGCTGTCGTATAAATAAAGACTCTGTAGCCGCAACGGCATAAATAAACTTTTTGTCGCTCAGCTCAGCTCATCCAAAACTGTCAAGTATTTTCAGCTATTATTCATTTTCATTAATTCTTGTACAAGTAAAATGCATTATGCACGGCTCTACTTATGTATAAAGAGTTTGGGTGCTCTCGTATAAATGCATATGCATGTATGTCTAGACACCCAAGAGCAAAGCTAAATGAAATCATATGCGAAAAGGCTAAAAGCTATGCTATCATTCATTCTGTTCATACCCACTTGCAATGGACTTAAAGACAAGTTTTTATTGAGATTGAGAGTCAGATTTACTGTAGATGGTCTTAAAATAGACAAAATTTAAACAATGAATGTTTTATAAAAATCACATTTTCATTTTATCAATTTTAATCCCAATTGATGTAGCAAAAATTTAAGTGTAATAATTCCAAATTTTTACAAAAAAAATTATATTTTCTCTGTAGAGTTTTACTTAGTTTTAATCCAAGTTTAGGAAAACATTTGCATGCAGAAAATAATATAAATAAATAGCAAATATTGAAGAAACAATAGAGATAATTTGATAAATTGGTCAAGGTTAAGGTTTTGCTTACTTTTGAAATATATTTCAAAGTGCAGCATGTAATTATTTTTCATTACCTATTTACTTTACCAAATAATGGCCTGACAAAAGCTCAAGAATAAAAGCAAATTCAATTTATTAACTTAAATTTGTCTTCTTTTATTAAATATTATTTTCCTGTAGCTCTTGTTTGGCCAGCTTATTTACCCTTACCCCTACTTGTATACCTGTAATTAATACACCTGTGCTGCTGTGACTGAATTGTGCTAGAAACTTCAGTTTTTGTTAGTTCGGCTCATTTGTATTTCCTGGCTATTGCATTTGTGTGGGATGAGTTAATACATTAGATAATGCCAAGGCCTATTTGGATGATGTAATTGCATGAACGAATTCGACATAGTTGACCAAACCCTGATCGTTGACGCGACCGACCAAGAGCTCGTTCATCTCCTCCTTGGTTAGACGCTCACCACATGTGGTCAGGACTCGTGCAAGCCTGGCCGCTGATATGAAGCCAGTATTGTGCTCGTCGAAGAAGCGCAGGCCCAATATGAGCTGTTCGGCTATCGTGTCTGGCCTGCTCTCCTTGGCTGCTTTCCGAGTTGATGAGACGATGCTCGCATGGATCGACATGACCTCGTCGAAGGGCACGCGTTCGATATGGCCAGCACGCAGCTGTCGGACGTGTTGTCGTACGCACCTCTCGCTGGGATTGGCGCCCAGCACTCGCAGGCACTCGCCCAGCTGTGACAGCTCAATCTTGCCATCGTCGCACTGGTCGAACTGCTGGAGCAGTTGTCGCATACGCTTGAGCTCAGCTGGTGACTCCTTGTTGGCCATCTTGTTGACGAACTGGATCGTTTGCCCCCTGGATGACGTTGCTTGGCGATGCTGCGACTGGGATCGTTTAGGCGTGCAACTCTTGGATACGCATTTTCTGCTCAGTTGCTAGCAACTGTACAGGCTAACTGGAATCCACTTATGTGATTGGGGAAAACAAATTTACAAACAATTTTGACATGATGACAACTAAACGAACCGACTGACAGTAAACATATTCATACAATTCACTTCGAAAACACTCAACAAAGGTTGCTCGACAATCACAGATTTCGATTGGTCAAAAGGAAGTCAAATACAATATTTTGCTTTGAATGTATGGGAGACGAAGAAAAGTTGAGTTAGATGCTGTAAAACTTGAAAAAATCAAATGGAGCTCTATTATTTGTCCCCTTAATTTGAAGTGATACCAAAAGCTGCGATATTTATAGAATTCCCTTTACACTCACACTAAGAAAAGATTTAGAGAGCAAACTAATGCATGTATAAATGTGAAGACCGTTTAGTTCTTATTTGCTCTCATTTATAAAAGAACGCCCCACGTTGTATTCAAGACCTTCAACCGAACCCAAAACGATGAGAAACCCGAAGCCTCTTGCTCAGGGCGAGAGCAAGTGAATATGATATTTTCGGTTAATTCCACATATAGAGCGGAAGCAGAAGTCTGATACATACATATAGACATATGTATGTAAGTATTCTTAATAGGTCGAAGCTGCTTTTGTCGAGCTTAAAACAATAATTAAATTCAGTCTTGGATGAGAGAAACAGAATATATCGCTTATGCTCATATACAACTAGATTAGCTTAAGCTATGTAGATTATTTGGTTTAATTAAATTTCGTGTGGCATCAAACAATGACGCTACAGTCATAAGGCCATGGCCTAAATGTGATAAATACTTGACTAAAGTTGATCTCTGTGTTATGTAAACTCTGATTAGTAAGGCCACAAAATCCATAAGAGCAAAATTAGTGGCTATGCAATGCATCAAATAATCATTTTGACAGGCTTGAAGCAAACAATTGAATGAACAAACAAAACAAGAATAGTTTGCATTTCTGCAAAATTCAATTAAATCCAAGCATAATAGCATAACTTACTAGATTTAATTTAAATACATACAAATAATTATTTTATTAATTTATTAAAGCAATGGAATTATTTGAGCTACATTATTATATACAATTGAGTTGAGGTAACCAAAAAGAAAGGAATACTAAGTAGAAGTAATACAGTTTGCTGTAAATATTAAGTTTTATAAACATGATAATTATTTATTTCTAAAAGCAGCTGCTCAATTGAATAGCATATTTGCTTAAAAATAGATAAACAATTCACAAAAAGAATAAAATACTTAAGATAGTTTATATCATAGGGGAAATTAAATCAGCTTTAGTCCGTTTGACAATTCAAGCTCAAATATCTAATACCCCTAGAAATTGCTGTCAATGAAAATGCTGGCAAGCACATTTCAATAACTAAATTAAGAACATTAAGCATGTAGTCAACTCACAGACCGATAAAAACAGTAAAATCAGTTTTCGTTATGCAAAAGTTTTTGCTGGCCATATAATATCGAGTGAAAATGGCGCACAAAGCGAACTCCGATCTTTTTTGTGTTAGTCCGAAGAACATGATCTTCTATGCACCGTACGATCGCGTGCAGAAACGTTTGGTCACTTTATTGAACCCAACTGGGGAGCGGCTGCTCTTCAAGGTACTGACGAATGCGCCTTGGCAATACAATGCCATACCGAACTGTGGCTTCATCGAGCCATACAACATCAGCGAGATCTGCATCAGTCTGCATCACTTTGAGTTCGAGCGGGATAAGGAATATAGCCATCGCGTTTGCATCCAGTGCATTCGAGCGCCGCTAACTGAGTATCTGAATAACCAAACAATTCTGTGCATATTCAAGCAAGTGCGTCGCTCCAAGATCCACAATGTGCGTGTGCCCATCGAACTGAAGCCGGAGCCCATATGTATACCACAACATGAGCTGGAAGGTATTTTGCAAAACGACGTCCAAAAGCTGATATGGGACCTGCGACCCATTAACACCGACTATATGGCCCAACTCAAGGAAGTGACCATGAGGGGCCACAAGAACCGCTGCAGCTGGGTACGCATGCTATTGGGGCCGCTTATCTTAATATCGACTGGGCTGGCTGCTGGTGAGATTGAAATAAAAACCAAAGAGTAGAGAGAGTAGAGTAACGCCATAGGTATTATATTATAGAAATTTTTAACTATGTTAGGTTCTATTCTAACCACTCTAGAAATCTCAGACCGATGGTCATACATACTAATTAATTTTTAATAGTTAAAAAATACATATATTTATTACCAATGATTTTTTTTTTATAA